AGCGTGATGGATAACTGCCTCTGCAGAAAAGCAAAAAAGTGTAGGAGCCGCCAACCGCTGCTTCCAGGGTTGAGCAGTCAGTGACCGCCACGTCATTTCCCGCCCTTCTGCACTCCGTGCTGTGCTGTCTTACAGTTGCTCCTCTGAGGCTGTTTGGCGAAGCTGCAAAGGGGAGGTCCCATTCCAGTCCCTTCAGAAAAGACATGGTGAGACACTAATCTGCTCATTGTCGTTTCTTCATCTGGTCAATCTGCTCATTGTTGTCTCTTCATTTGTCAAGCTGAGCAAGAGTTGTAGGGATTCGCTTCTCACACAAGATGGCCGCAATCCTACACAATGCCTTCAGAAAACACGGTACATACATCAATCAGGACGTTCTTCTGGACTACCATCATTCTCCAGCTAGAGGCACTTGTACCAAACGCAATCGATCACATTGACGAAGTCAGTGAAAGCGATTTTCAGATTGGAAACCAAGTCTTCAAGCCAGACTGGGGAATTGTTGAACTAGTAGGTTTTCTTGTCCCAGCTCTTTGGGGTGAAGGACATTGGAAGAATAGTGCAGAGACACTAACGAGCTTCCCAGCAAAGCTTGTAGCAGTTTTAAACGCAGGCTGTAAGTTTGCGCATGGTGTGTACATCCATGCCAACTACAGCACCCCTGCAGACCGCGAGTTGACCTTCTTTGACTATGATAGCACTGGGAAGAGGGACAGAATCGAATTTGGTAGGGGAAGTGCTTGCGTAGCCCCAAATATCCCCCAGTATCAGTTGAGGTATCGCGTAGCTGACCTGTTTCACAATATGCCCCAGCCTTCCCAGAATCACGCTCAGCAGCTTATAACAATAGATCTCTTTCTGTTGCGACGTCGATTGCAGAAAAATTTGACCTGAGTGGTAAGTAATTGGTTTGGCCCTCCTTTGTCCATCTTGTCAGTGCCACTCAAATGTGCGATTCTGCTCTTACATGAGACTGGCAACACTGGAAACACAGATGCTGACAAGTGTTTGTAGCCTGCCTTACAGGTGGGAATGGACCACAGAAATGAAAGGTACGTCCTTCTGCAGCAAATGCCATTAATCATTCTTAAGCTTGTTGTACAGTCAATTCGTAGTGGCATTCAGAGAGTATACATTATTGGTGGTCAGCTTTTGTAGTGAAAGCAGCTCATCTGCTTGTACTGTGGTGCAGGCAAACATTGGTGCTACGAACCAGATCCATTGAGCGCGGTCAGCTGCAGACATGAAGCACATGCAAGCTCTCCCTCTGTATGATGAAAGCAACTGCATTCGTTGCCTCTCAGTGAGTGTCGATTTGTTTGGTACTTTTTTTGTCCCGCTGATCAGCTGATCAGGATTGTCTTCTTTGTCCGATCTGATCAAAGTCACTATCTGGTCTTCTGCAGGGGGGTCTCCAAGTTGTGCTAGCAGAGACATTGTAAAGTAAGTATCCCTGGACTCAATGGTATCACTCCCTGCTTGCAGAGCGCTTGTTCTGTCTGCCACTGCTTCCAAAGACATCCGCATGAGGGAAAAGCTTTCCAACCTTTGTTGTTCGCTTGTGCAGGGATGTTAATCCAGGGGGTGACTTCCAGGATCTAGATAGAGAGTTCACTGTCGCACGGAGGGCCGGCCTAGCTGTTGTAACCAGTGCTTTCCGTGAAGGATTTGACATCAGTGATGCTATGGACATTGCTACGGAGCGGAAAAAATCCCTAGGTCTTCATGGTGAGTTTGCTGTCAGAAAGTGAGCCTATAGTGGCTTGCCGGCTGCAGCAACAATGGCTTGCCGGGAGGGTAATGCATCAGAATCTCTGCTCCTCCTGAGCCTTTCTAAGCAACTCAGTAGGTTCAGTATGCATCTTCTCTGAAGTTCCTTCTCAGCTGTCTCGGCACCAGCTTCAAAGTCTGATGCAGGTCTTTGTGTTTTTGTGTGCACAGCCTCAACAATGAGAGTCTTCCCTGTGCAAGAAGATTCGTTCAGCTATGACGCCCCAGCTTTCATTGTCATGGTTGCATCACCAAAGGTGGATAGATCTGCGCTTGATGTGAAAGGGGAGTCATTTCTTAGAGGCGGAACACTGGCTGGTGTTTTAATGAGACGTGTCCAAGGGGAGAGCTGGGAGGCTCGCCCTTTTGGTGATGCATCTTGGAAGGATGGCGCAAGCTGGCAGGTAGGCCTCAGGTATTCTCCAATAAAGCCCTTCATGTATTGCCCTAGTAAATTAGGAGCATCGGCATTTATGTTCCTCGACTCTTCTCTTCTCCTTGAAGGACAACATCGAGTCCCCCAACTTTTGATTCCAAGATACTCCGTTTTCCTTTCCTTTGGAAGGTGTCCTCACATGCTCGTCGTTGACCATATCAAGTCCTTGTGCAGATGTTGGGTGCCAACTCTGAAGTGGCAGTACCAATCAAAGCGCTTCTGCCCTCTCACAAAGGGGATGCTGCAGTGCACGTAAAGTTGTGCCAATTGCTTCTTCAGGCTGCAAACAAGACAATCGAGCAATGCTCTCGACAATAGGATCGCCAAGTAAGGCCCTCGGCAATGGGACAAGACATTGGGAGCAGCATAGTGGTTAATCATAGATCATAGATCAATCATATGGTCACTCTATTGCAGTCAAGGGCCCGCTCACATGATAAACCCACATGGAACTTTGGAGATCAAGCGCTTGCCCATACTGCAGACCATCAAGTCGTTTTCTAGCATGCCTTTCCTGTGCATTTGCAAACAACTCATGCGGTCTCATGCATACAGAGGTCAATATCCGTGAACGACACATATTCATATAACATTTCTTAGTTCCTTTCACAAGAGCAATGCTGCAGCCCCATCGATCCTTGCTGAAGAATGTTTGGAAAGCCAAAGAAGATGCATTAGTCTGCAATCAGAACCGCTGACCTGTACATTACGACCATATTTACTTACAGGCCCAGCCTTTCCATACCTTGCTGCACATATAAGGCAGACTAAGGTAGTCACTCACTCAATAAGCTCAAGGGCTCGTAGTGCAACATGAAGGCCATGCCTCTTCTATGTCTTTGCGAGCTCCGTCACACGCTTGAGCGAACACTAAGACTGGTGCGCCCGATTTTGGACGAATTTGATTTTTGACGGCAAACCCGAAATCTAATTTCGGACTCAGTCAACTCAGTCTGCGGCTGCTCGTGCCCGTCGGTTCTCGTTGTCGCATTTCAAAGTACCATCAGGAGACAAGCCGCATGCGACAGCGTTACACACGCGCGTGTGCGGCCGCAGACTGCGTCAGATAGGTAGTTCGAATTTAACACTCGGGTTTGCCAATAAATTAAAATCGTTCCGCACCAGTCTCAGCCCTCTTTTGAGAGGTGGCCTGACTCAGAGGTCTGAGCGGGGTCTGAGCGAGCTCCACCTGGCAACCCCCTGGTAAATAGGTGATTTTCCGAGTATATTGATTATTCCAGGTTCGAATGGACGCGCGGGTATTCCAAACATTTCTAAACAACCCCAGTTGGGGGAGAGACTTAGCCGAATCGGCCATCCGGGCAGCTACACGGCCAGGGGGACACGTGGCGCCCTGAGATTGGCGCTTTTTATGCCAACGATCAATTGGTTAGTTGGCGCTCGAGTGGTGTGGCAACCGTTGAAGTCCTGTACTTCGCATGACATCCAGGAGAAAGAGCGGTCCGTGACCGTTGGATTCTACGAGATGTCATCGACGGTCGTAGCTTGGGAGATTGCTCGAAGACGTCCGACTGCGCGCGCCCATGCATCATTGTATGTACGCAGCCATATCGCGCTCAAAGCATGGCCAGGAGCCTCATACGCCGGTACAGAAGCCTGCCTATATGCCCTGAACCGTGAACGTTTTCATAAGCCTGGCTTGAGCCTGAGGCATGATTCTAAAATGCATTCGCCAGCTTGTTCAATTAACCCTGCGCTAGCTGCCATTAAAAGTAGGTTGAACACTCCGCGGCGACCAGACATGCGAAGGGCAACCCTGACTTGTTGATTAATTCAAGGACAGCGCGCCCCGTAAGGTTTACGCCCCGTGTTTACATGCTTTTTTTCAGATTTCATCAACGGCCTTCGATACTCGCTATGGACTTTCACCGCAGATGGAACTTCGCTTTGCCTTATCTAGCCTCCTGCCATCATGTCGTCGCTTATCTGACATATTTTACGTCTGTCCTACTTACCGACCTGTTCGGCTTCTAGAACGTGACACTCGCCGTCGCACCGTCTTGCGCCGATCGACGCCCAACTGCTGAGCACTTCACCTACCACTCATCACATGCTTGAGCGCCGCTAAGGCGACCACGCTGACCTCCAAAGCAGCGATTGGTCGCCCATCCCTATCCACCACCTCTAGTTGCTGGGACTGCAGATCCCGCCCGCTGTGCAGAATCTCCCCGAGGTCTATCTCCGTGAAGCCGAGCTCGTGGTATTCTCCGAATGCGGCCCCTTCCGTTCCGATGCAGAACGGAATGCAAGCGTCCTCCCCAGCGGAAGAGCGGAGCATAGCGCACAACTCCTGGCGCGCGGCTGCGTGCGTGGCGGCCGCGAACGAGTAAGCTGCGACGAGATGAGGAACTTGCTTCAGAATTGTTGGCTTCTCTGCTATCCTTCTCGTCCGTGATCAGGATCAAGTACTTTCGTCACAACACCGCAACGTAAGTCAAATGTCGTTGTGCAAGAGACAACTTTTTGAAGAGGTTCCGCCATCCAAAGAGGGATGGGAATGACCGGACTGCGAGACGTCGATACGAAGCTTGAGGTGATAAGATTGCATGCCAGTGTGGGTCAAAGAAAATTTTCGCTTCTGGCGCCTTAAGCCCACTCGTGGATTAAATTGTAAGGGGCGTACTGGACCGCTGTGGGTGAATCACAGATTCCCCTTTTTGAGACATTCAAAGAGTTCCAGTCAAGAGTTGCTGAGAGAAGCGATTGGAAAAAGCACGGGCATTGCGCTCTCACTTCTAGAGAAGGCGATGTCTAGGAGCGACCCCGTCTTGGGCACCGACTGGGTCCTCTGGTCCGTGACCGGTACGAACCGCGGGAGGAAGTCGAAGAGAACAAACACCCGCTGGATGATTGGGTCGCGTACCGCCTCCGAACCTAGCCGTAACTGAACCAGGAAAAGGGGCATATTGTCAACCACGATGCTGTGAGATACATTCTAAAAAGGCAGCGAAACAGACTGCAGCGCATAAATTCTGAAGGCTACTTCAGTCGCCTGCAATTGAGCCAATTCATCTTTCAAAGCATCATCATATTCTTGTTCTCATTTTAAGGCAAACGGAGGTGCAAAGAATTGCATCGAGGAGCCAACCAGGCAATCGTGCGCTACGTCAACGTGGCAACCTGTGACTGGGACACTCGCAACCGATTACAAGAGATGACGTCCTCAAGCGAGCAAGGTGGATATTACTAACGTCGCCCGTTCACACTTTCTTTTGCTGCCTCACCTTATGAATGGTAATGCTCACGACCGGCCCCGCTTCCGGGGGGTTCCCCGCCCCGACTACGATGCTATGTCTCACCCCCCCGTGCCCTCGCAACCGTCCCACCTGACTCCCCCGGCTGCCCTTGCTAGAGCGTGCCTCGCTAGTGCCGCTGCTCTCGGCTTCCAGCGCGCCCGCCCGGGCCTTTTCCCCGGGACGTTTCGGGGCGACCCACTCGCTGCTCTCGGCTTCCAACGGTCGCCCTCGGGGCTGTTCCCCGGGACGTTTTGGGGCGACCCACTCGCTGCTCTCGGCTTCCAACGGTCGCCCTCGGGGGTGCCCCGGGGTGGCCCAACCGACCTCTTCGTCGTCGGAGCTACCACTGTAGCGGCCGCGCATTCGGGGGGCGGTGCGAGTCCCCCGGTCGGGAGGAGCGTGGAAACGGGAAGGCGTGGAGGGCTGGCTAGATGGAGACTGCTGGACAAATGAACAGTTTTTGTCATCAGCAGACCGGGAGATTATTGGAGGTTGCAGCGAGGGACAAGCGTCCCGACCGGAAATATGGTAGCGTACTACTCGCGGAATCTGCTCGGTATGCTTCCTCGGGATGAAGATATTCCGCTCGGTCTAGGCCGGTTCACAGAGGCTTAGTGCAACTCTAGAAGCGGAAGCTAGTGTCCACTCTCTTTGTTGCAAGAGGGCTGCGTGAACGTCCTTCGCGAGTCGTTCTCTACAAACGAACTGCAGTTGCAATTTCACAAAATACATAAATGAAAGTTTGGTACTCCGTCCTTACCTGCTCAGAGTCGGGTCCCCTTTTCTCATCCGCCCCCCGCCTCCCAGTTGACTCCCGATCACCCCCCCGTTTTGTATTCCCTCGTTGCGACTTTCTCGTGGGGGCTTGGCTGCCGCTGCTGCCCGCACCCCCGCTAGGGCCAGATCCTTTTCCGTCCTCAAGTCTTCGTTCCTCGCTCCTTCTACTTTGATCATCATCCTCCGGCCGCCGCTCTAAGGAATTGGCAAACCGCGCACTACTCGTAACGGATGCTCCAGGGGCGTCCAGTCGCCGGCTTCCACGTGGCAACTTCTCAGTTGGATGCAGAACCTCGTAATCTGCGTCGAGGAGGTGTCCCGCAACAGCTGGGGATGCCGCTCCGGTAATCCTTGTTCCGCCCGGTTCCGCGCTGGTTGGTGGCGGCGGCGCGCGCCACGAGACTCCCACAGCCAAAGTGCCAACCACCTGACGATTGGAAAGCTTTACGGTCAGAAGCATGGTGAGAGATAGAGTGCTGACGTCATCATTGCGGCCGCCAACATATGCAAGAGAAGATTGCTGACGTCAGCACACCTGCCTCCCACCTTCCGGCAACTGCCGTCCACACGTTCGGCCTAACAAAGACGGCCAAAACTGTCGCCCCGTTTGCAATCGAAGACCTTCGAAGCTGGAACCATCTCCTCCGTGCACACACACCGGAACGTTTTTAGGAAGGATTTGAAAGCGTGACTGTACGCAGCTACGCTACGGAACGCGAGCGGAACGCGCACCTTTCCGGCCCTGTCCTTGACCGGGAGCTCGCCCTGCAGTCCGCCCGCCTCGATGAGCGCCTTGAGCGGAACTTCCGCCGTGCCCACCAGTCCCGCGTTTTCCAGGTCCGGGTCCGCATCGTCGAGCAGATGCACCTGTGGTGGCGAGCCGTCGCTGGTTAGTTGCATAACGTGCGGGTGAAGACAAGCCGTGTTCGGATTCGTATTTGACAGCTTCCAGAGGTTATGAGTTGCTGTAAACGCTGCTTTCTCGTCGGGGGCTAGCACTATCGAAGTCCTGATTCTCTTCGCGGCCGAACTACTTCCCTGTTTGCGGCCGGTAAAGTCAAGTCGCCTGATATCGTGTCGGGACAACGTAGTTCGAAGATTCAGTCAACAAGTTCGCTGCGAGCTTTACGAACCACCAAGACCACTTCCTGGCAACGCCTAGAAAGTTTGACGCGACGAACGCCCGCTCAGTGCCTTGAATGAGCTTCGCTCTTCATTAAAATGCTGACTTAGGACGGATAAATGAATGGCCTACCTGCAAGCTCGCCGCCCGAAGCACCGCATCCAACGGCGCAGATCGCATGAACGGGTACGCCGCCACGTCAGCAAAGTGCGGATTCGGGCCCGCCCCAAACCGGGTGTCGTGAACCGGGTACCCCGGGAAGCAGTAACTGCAGTACGGAACCAGGCCGTTTCCGCCGCGCGCGCGCCGGGTGGTCAGTCCCCGGGCGCTGTCGATGGTGACGTAGACCGTGGAGCAGGAGTCGGGGGACGCGGCAGCGGCTGCAACCGCGGCCGCGAGGGGGTCGACGGAGCTGCGCCGGCGGGCGGGGGCGGCAGTGGGGCGCGTCAGGAACGCCTGGGAATGAGAAGGAGATGAATGTTAGGAAGCGGATTTGCATGCTCTACTGAGAAGTGGATTGTTTCCACCTTCCCGCTAGTTCCTCGACTCCATGATTGACCACGTAACGTGATGTGCAAATGCGGTTCCAGGGGAAGAGTTGAGGTTAGCGCGCCCTTGGTTAAGCGCAAATCTCAAGCCGAATCGTCACCTCTTTTTGAATCATGCGCTTTGGGCATTACAAAGGTTCCAACATCAGAAAGGACCAAGTTAAGCTCGACCTCCCCTTCTTTGATCAACCGTTGACGTCAACAGGTTACGATTCATCCTTCTGACGTCATCTTGTCGCCCCCCGTTTCAGTACCTGAAGCTGCTTAGCAATGCTCCGGCGCATAGCCAGGCTGTAGCGCAGCGTCCCGACCAGCTCCCCGCTCTCGTTCCTCAGTTGGACCTCCCGGGGCAGCTTCCGCCCGGCGGGCCCGCTGCTGTCGCCCAGCAGCAGGCTCAGCGGCAGCCCGGCGCTCCCCACCGTGCGGAAGTCAGGGCCGTCGCGAACGTGCAGCTCCACCAGCAACTGCGCGATCGCGCAAAATGGTTCAAGGGCAATCATGTAATGAATTTCAAGGACCGATTACCTAACTAGGAAAGGGGACAAATCACGTTGAATTGAGAACAGAGTTACCAGATGCCATTTCAGATATAATCAAAGTGGCTAACGGGGTTGTTGCATAGAAAGAGAAATTTGTTCCAAGCGCCTGGCCTCTTCCCGTCGCGCATACGATAAAAGAAGCACTTTCAACCGTTGCGGAACCGTTCCCTTGAAAAGAGAACAGCTCCTAAATGGTTAAGGTAACCGCAGAGAAGCTTGCAGCCAGAAGACACAGGGCTTGTCGTCAAGCCTGTCACATCTATGTTTTCCTGCACACGCACCCAGTGTTTGGAAACCATCTGTAAAATACTTTTTGAGGTTAGCTTTCTTGTCTAGGCGGTATCGCTTATGCATCGAAGCGATCCTTTACCTTGTTGTTCTGCGCGTACGAAAGGAAGAAGTCGTCGACGTTGACCACGTATTGGATGTTGCTGCCATAAGCGGGAGACGCGCCGCCGACTACGCCCGTAGCCTGCATTTGCAATTGACCATTAGCGATCCCAGAGTATGAATGTTTGAAGAGGATTAAGAGCCCTTGATACAGGTGACGCAGTGTTCGAACATGATCGCAAGCGTTCAAAACAGATTTGAGACGCACTCGAGAGCGGACTAGCCCGAAAATGGAAAGATCAGGCCTTCCAACCAACCAACAAGGCCGTTCTGAAAGTCCTGATGGGCTCTGATCAATCACTCCTCATGAGATTGCTGAGGCGTAAGCTTGGCGTTTCCAGCATAAGACGTTTGCTGGTCTGACAAACGTACCTGCGTGTCGTGCTCGTAAAAGTCAAATGTCAGGAACGTGTGTGGATCATTGGTGCCCAATTTGGCCAACTCCAGAGAAGCGCCCTGTACCAGAGAACCGCAAATTCAGTCTACAACTTCGATGCAATCTGCTCCTTGAATCTCGCCCTAGTTACGCATTCTTGACGCTGAGCCAGAGACGTGGTCATCGCGCTCGCCATGCCCAGAAGCTTTGAGTCTCCAATCCTACCATACAATTATGTGCGACCATGTCTTTCACAGATTCAAACGGTGGACAACGTAGTTGATATGCAGATCAGGCTGGCTGCTCCACCGAGCCCCAAAACCCTGATGCTGTAGAGACATTTCCATTCGCACCACCTTGGTGCGAATAACTAATTTCGAATTCTTTGCCGTTTCGCACCAGCTTAAGGAATTTTTTTTTTAGGTATTCGCAAGAGCCACATTTAGGTTGTCTTAAGCTTGTTTTCTGCATATGTACATGCTGAATCTGATTGCGCAATTTCGCGCCAAGGCTGAAGGTCACTTTCGATTTTTCGCAACGACCGAAACTCAATTGATTCAGTGCAATTGGGAACGTCGCTAAATCCTGCGTAGCTACGCGTAGCCGCCGCAAAGTAGCCGCAACCTTTATCAACGCACTTCCGAGCGCCGAAACTCTCTCCCGTAGTTTTTCGCACCACAATCCCCCAATTCTTCTCCAACCCTTTACAAACCTTGACTTCCGGAAACGCCGATTCTCACCGCAACCCGCAGCTCCACAATGTTGCTCTCCTGGTCTAGATCCGCGAGCGACCCCGCCTCGCTTCCCCCCCCAACGCTCTCTGTGTCGCTCCAATCGCTGTCTCCCCCCCCAAGAGCGCGGCTCGCCACCAGGCTCGCGCGTGTGGCACGTGAACCCCCGGCTAGGAAACGCTTCAGCTGACCTTCCACCTGTCGGAGGCGCTCCCCCCGTGCGGACAGCTCGGCTTCTGGAGGAGAGACAAAGTGCTCGGGTTAAGACACCGGGAGAGATTAACAAGGTAGGGAAAGCCTGCTGGAGACGCTCCCCCCGGGCGGCCAACTAGGCCTCTGGACGAGGGAAAGGGTGCCCGGTTTAAGAGACCGGCAGAGGGTGAGAGCGTAGGAAGCGTAAGGGTATGGAGTGAGTGCACCGGTCTTGATGCAATTTTCGGGGATGATTTTGCATCTTCTGACGGGAAACGACGAGCAGAACGCGGCGAAGAATCGATGTCATCCGACCTTCGAGCTTTATAATGATACATGTGATTGGTCTCGGTATCAGGAGATACTTGAATGGCTTTCTTACGTCAGATCATTTTGATCACCTTCGAATCTTGCTAGCAAGAAACTGAAGACATGGACTCTTGTCATGTCTTCGGGTCCCTCTTCAACTCCTTGGAGAATGCTTCATTCGTTTTCTTATCATCTTATGAACCTGATAAACATCGATAGGTATGTCAATACATATCAAACTCTAAACGGAATTTATTCTCTCCAATTCAAGTCCGGGAGGCCTTCTTACCTAGCTTTTCGATCTTTCTCGTAAGCTGTCCCTCGAGCTCCTTGGCCTTCGCCCGACTACTCTCCAATTCCTGATAAAGAAAGCGGACTGTTGTGAGCATTTTTTCTCCTTTTGGCCAAGTAGTGAAGAACGCAAATCTGGAATCGTCGGTGGGAAATTGTCACCAATAGGTGCATAGCTCTCACCCCATTGCCACGTGCACGGCAAGCAGTTGGATTGGGATCAACGGAACGCACTGATATCAATCGAACATTGCCGAAGGCTATCATCTGCTACAGGAAGATTCCAGTTTGCTTGCTAATTATTGGCCCCAGTACTTACAACGGCTGAAGCCTTATGCTTCATCGTCTTTCTGCAGGAATTGATCTGCCAACGTACCTGCTTCAGCTCCTGAACTGTGTTTTCCGCTTGATGCAGTTCCCGCTCCACGGTGTGAAGCTCCGTCAGCTAAGAACGAGAAATAGAAGGCATCAAGTTTTGATGCGAAACCAGGTTTGAGTGCACGAACTCTTGCGAAGCGCAGCCTCTTCGCGTTACCTATTTTGCTTTGTGCCCTGTGGCCAGAATCACCTCCAGGTGGCAAGCCCCAGATTTCGACGACCTGCATCGTCAGCACGGGCTCTTAAAAAGCGTGTGTGCATGACGGCACCAGAATATTATCCAGTTCTCTTCAATCCGGGTTGTCTTCAGTCCAGGAATCTGAGTCACATCCGCCCGGACGTATGTCCACAAACTACGCTTCGCAGACCCCGACAAAGGCACGAAATTTCGATTCTTCTTTTTCTTTTGAGTACGCGCTGCTTAGATGATCACAAAGATCGATCTTACCTGTTCCGTAAACGCCGTCCGGAGCTCATCCAGCTCTAGCTTCAGGTCCCGCTGCTCGGGGCTTCCCCCCTGGGAACTCGCTCCGTTTGCCTTGACCTCCGCCAGCCGCTGCATCAGCCCGGTGGGACCGCTCGGCCCGTGCTGACGTAGCTGCTCCGTCAGCTGATCCACCTGCCGTAAGTTGACGGGTTTCTCATTTATCCAGACAGATACCTGACAGTCAAAGTCAAGTATTGTCGAGACAGATACATGAAAGCCGAAACGCAATAGCGCGTGCAATCAAAGGCCAGTCTCCGTTGCCTGCTCCGTTGGCGGCGTGCTTAATTTCGAAGGATATGCTCTTGGATTGCTTGAATGGATTGCGTTTTCCGAGGGTTTGGTTAGGGGGTTTGGTCTTATCCATCGAGCGGCCGCAAACGAACTAAACAAACAGAGGCCGTCGCTCGGAACGGACTCGAAGCCTGAGAAGGCTCAAACCGGGAATGGATTGCAGTCCAGCAGAACACGAGTCTGAGAGGCACGTACACGTCAACCCTACAGGGCTAAATTACAAACTCCAGTTTCGAATCCAATTTCACATAAAATGCCCCCAAAAGATCACACATTTAGTTGAAGCCGCCGAAAACTCACCATAAGCGTGACCTTCCCAAGCTCCGCCCGCGCCCCGTCCCTCTCCGCGCGCGCCTCGCGGACCTCCGCCTCCGCCTGCTGCGCGCGCACGAGCGCGCGCTGCGCGTCGCTCGCCTCTTTCCGCGCCTCCGCCTCGCGCAGCTCCGCTTCGGCGGCCTGTTTCTGCGCGTCGGCCAAGAGCGCGCGCGCGCTTTTGAGCTCCGCGAGCGCGCTTTCGGGCGCGGCCATGGCCTGAGCGAGGAGGGCGACGTTCTCTTTCTCAAGCGCGAGCCGCTCGCGGCGCGCGGTGTCAAGCATGGGCGCGAGCTCGCGTGCCGCCTCTAGTTGTAGGACGAGCTCGGACTCACGTGCGGTGAGGCGGGCCACTGTTTTGCGCTCCTGCACCAGAGAATCCGCCCTTCGATTACTTTTCTTCCAACGGTGTTTTTTAGTGTAAGGTCCCTACAAAGGCCGCGTGCTTCGAACGAACAGACCGGAGAAAGCTTAAGGACTCGTGTAAGAACCACGGAAAATCAGGTGAACAGCACGGGAACGATGGAGACTTCGCCTCCCAAGGAGCGTCTTCAACATATGAGGGAGTAGCACCCGACCGGCGGGGTCTCCGTTTTGCGCACCCAACTTATCGTAAGTCGTAGGGCTTAGTAACGTACCCTCCAAAACTTTGACAAACCTCTACCAGTCTTTTAGACGGAACTGCTCAAGTGGCGAGGCAATGAGCTACCTGGTTCAGTTGCCGATGCGTCTCCTCCAGTTGCTGCAGCGCCTTCTCGTGGTTCCCGTTAATACTCGCGAGCGCCTCCGCCGCCGCGTCATACCGTTTCTGCAGGCTCGTTACCCGTTCCCACGCCGTTCGTAGCTCCGCGCTCAGATTGCTACTTTCTCCCCCCATCCTGATCCCCGCAAAGGTACCCCCCTGGACCGTGCTTCTTTGATTCACACCGAATCCCGCGTCCGCAACCATTGCCGCCGCGGCTCGCGCATCGGCCAACTCGCGGCGCAACCGCGGCACCTCATCTAGTTCCTTCCTGAGTCTCTGCAGTTCTTCAAGTTCTTGCCTCAGTCTCGGCACCTCTTCCGCCTCTCTCCTAAACCGTTCCGCTTCCGCCGCTTCCCTTCTCAGCTGCGGAACCTCCGCCAGCTGTGCCCTCAGTCCTTGCACCTCCGCGCTGAGCTCAGCAACCCCTCCCCCCGAAACCGACGCCGTCCTCCCCAGGGGGCTCTTCGGCAGTGCGTTTCCTACCCCCCCAGCCGGCGCCCGCTGCTCCAGCGTCCCAATTTTCATCCTGAGCCCCAAGTTGTCGACTTGCGCCGCCGCTAGCTCTTTCTCCAGCGCAGCCAACTTCTCCCTATATGCTTCCTCGGACGCCTGTAAGAACGTCCGGGGGGGGTTCTCCTTCTGCTGATTCGCCCCCCCCACGCTCATGCTGAGAACACGGGTGGTTGGGAGAGCGCTCATGGAGCGCTGTCGGTTAAGATTGGCGGGGCGGGTCGTGCGTGTCAGACGCAGAGTCTCCTCGAGGCGGCCTTTTGAGGTCTTTGCGAGTGCCTTGAAGTGGAGAACGCGTTCCTTCTCCCGGGTGCACGCCCGCACGCTTTCCCGCAGCTTTTCCTCCAGTTCCACCACACGCTGCAGACAAAGAGCGGGAGCAAGAATGCATAAGCCATATGGAGCGAGAAGGATGTGCAAGGGCTTCTGAGATGGAGAGCGCGTTCTTTCGCGCGCATGCACGCCCGCACGCTTTACGCAGCTTTTCCTCGCGCTTTACCGCACGCTGTCGAGAAGGAAGCAGGAAAGGTCTGAATACTTCCACAAGGCAGGATAGTATTGTCAGGGTCTCAAATTGGAGGATGCGCTTCGTTCTGCGCGGGCACGCGCGCACGCTCTTTCGAAATTGTCCTGGGGGTGGAACACGGGCTAAGATATCACAAATTGTCGGAACTGAGCCTTCAAAATGCGGAATTTTGACGCTACTTTTAAAGTCGAACAATTTAGCGACCAGGCATAAGCTGTCACTTGTAAATGCTTGCGAGCACTTGATCTGCCTCGACCGAGTCTGCTAGCTTTGACCTTGCTCAAGCAGAACGAGACAGTCGAGAAAGCTTGTAATTAATAAATCGGGAGTGTAAAATCTCCAATGAAGGCGAAACGTCACGGAATCGTGGCATTCACCACCGTCAGAATTGCGTATCAGTCAGGTTTGTAACATCGAACCTTCTCCATGGGTGGACACAAAGACGGCCGACTATCGCATCCCGCTCGCTATCCTCACCTGCTCGGCTGCAAACTGTAGCGCCACATTCCCCCCGCTGCGCACTCCTGACGCCGTCACGATGTCAAGTCTCATCTTGCGTTTGGCCGCCTCCTCTGTACGCGCCAACCGAGCCAACAGCCTGGAGATGACAGCATGCAAATTGAGGAATGAGAGAAGAGCTAGCTACTGAGGGTGCGCACGGGTAGGTTTGTATATGCAAGATGCGTAGTTGCATCATTGGTCCAGTGGCCTTCACACGTCTGTGGTAATACACCTCAAAAGCTTCAGAGCGTTCGTCGCTGATTTATCAATAGCTGAAGAAGATTTCATTGCCCCGATTCCATCAGGACAAACACGGCTCGCTGTTCTGCTGTTACAGAAAGCCTTTCGCCGTGTTTAACGTGAACATGCTCTGGCTCCGCTCCGTCGCAATCAACCGTCATTTTCTCAAGAAGAAAGATTCTGCACTTAGTGTTTACGGTCTACTCAGCAAGTCAAACTGTTCAAAGAGCTGGACATTCTGAACCGTTTCGCTCACATCTTATTCCTCTCCTCCTTTTCCGCAATGTCCTTCTTCAGCTGGAAGTTCTCCTGCTCCAGCGCCAGCAGCCGCTCATGCTCCGGCCCCGTCGTACACGCGCTCATGTTTCCCATTCTAGTTGTTGCGCCTTTGCTCCGGAGCAAGCTGATTGCAGGGTCTGGCGGTGGGGGTCCGCTAACGTTGCTGTCAGTTTCGCCTTCCATGTATGCGGGAAGGCTCGGCCCAGCGGCCGTCACAGAGTGGTGCATCATGAGCGACTTGGAGAAAGACTTGGTGCCGGCCATCGATTCCCTCATAGACGCTGCACAAATCAAGAGCACGCTTGCATGGCTTGGTTTGCTTGCAGGGTGGTGCTCTGAGAGATGATGCAGGGAAGGCTTCGGAGGGGGGCCGAGAATTTGTGAACAATCTTTTTGCCACTTGCAGATGAGCTGGCTGCCCCTGTGATTTTGCAGGAAGAAGGCGCGAAAGTTGATGCCATCTATTTCATAAAGTCGAACCAGGACAGAAACTATGTCGCTGATTAGCCAAAGGAACATGCAATATGCTGTGGGCTAGGAAGATAAGGCAGTCAACGCTTCTCTTTCTTACTGCCCCTCCACCAGCATTGTCTTGCATGGTAACCGTCAATCTACTGTGGTTAAATTTGAGTTGCAAGGCGGTCCAAGGCGAGCTTACCTTGATGCACTGGAAACTCCATGCTCTGTTTGTGTCTTATTAGACCTTTTCACAGTCTTATGTTCGATCGTGTTGTGTGCATGACTGTGCAATTCCTCCCACGTTTTTAGTGATGGCCGTGTTTTTGTCGGCGGCTGCCGTAAGCGACTAAGAAGGCAATGCTGTCTTTCTCGATTGCATGTTGCAAAGCCAGTACTGTGCAATCCAACTCTACGACAACTAAACCATTCAGCTACTCCGCTTCTGCGAGCGTCATACCCTCCAGACTGGAGATATTCTTCCCAGGCTCTTCGAACAGGATTGCGACATACAATGCTGCGATACCGCATGCAATGCTGCGATTATTTCAGCTTCGCAGAGAACCTGCCAAGGAGCAGCCGCAGGGCTTGATGTTATCACATTGCTGAAGGCCCCATTAGATTCTGCTCATCCAGGCTCGCGCCTAAACTTACAGTAACTTACTATTACTGAACTGTGAGAACTCCGTCCATCTCATAGACCGACGCATATGCAACTTTAAGGCACAGATCCAACCACTGTAGCCTAGACTAGGTGTGCTTACTAGGTAAATACTAAGCTGTACAGCGCCAGCTGAAAAGCCGGCCGATAGCGTGTGCGCCCTATTTCTGCAGTCACTGCATCACTGCACTGAGCCCTTTGGAGCTACTACGGTACTACGCACAGTACTTCCCGTACCCTCATAGACTAATCAGCCTGTACAAACATCGACAGTGCGTAACGACACATAACCGTCGTTTGATACTAAGTCAGCTGGTATAGATATACAGTTCGCGCGCGTACATTGACTTTGCCCCCCCGGTTTTGAAAAGGAGTACCCCATCTTACTCAGTTGGGGGGGCGAAGGGGGGGCGAATCGCTTGCCTTCTTATACCCAGACAAAGGTTGCCGCGAATTCGGAAGCGCTTCTCGCATATTTCGGGGGCAGTGTGGGGGAGATGCAATGGCCCTGCATAATTCAGATTGCGACATTTGTCTTCGTCTGGTTCAATGTTACTGCGCAAACGTCTCTGGTTCAGAAAAGTTGGATTCACCATGTCCAATGCCAATACTTTCTAGCACCATGAAAGACAGTCCACATTCACGGGCCCCTAAGAAGCCATGGCGACAACAAGGATATTGACTGCTGCTAGCAACAAATTGCTTTGCACCTCAGCAATTGCGTGTGGTGGAAAGACATCAGGAGTGCTTGAATCTTGCGTCTTCTGTCCGAGCTCTCTTCAATCTGAAAAGCTATCTCAGCACTTACCACCACTTTTCAAATCAGATTTTTGTAGCTGCCAGCCTCAGAAGTCGTTCCAACCATCAAAAGTTGCAGGAAGGCGTGTTTCACAGACTTTGCCAAAAAAAGTTAATTCTGCATTGTCTGGGCAAGCTGACGTGGGGGATCAACACCCTGATGTCCAGGTATATCATTCTTCTGACTGCTTTTGAAAAGAAGCACTCAGAAACAAAATGTTCTCAAGTCGCTGTATGCAAGATCTTGCACTGGCAAGGTGCCCTCTTTGAAGATGCTTGCACTGATGTTCTGCCGATTTTATTCTCTCTCAGCAGTACCTTTTGCAAGTAGTGGTTGTCCAAGTCGCTTGCATAGTGGGTGTCGCTTTGGCTGCCTCTAAAAAGACATTGATGCTCTGCCACCCAAGGATTCTGGAATCTGATGGTTTTTGTGTTTGGTACCAGTCTGGTTCCTTGACAAAGGGCTTTTATGAAAAGGCCATGATTGAGTTCATATAAAGGTACCCATGCGAAAACTGAAAACGAAGACAAAATAAGAATGTCTACAGGTCAATCATTGAACAAGTCATCAACTGTCTAGAGCGCATCCCTTCAGCAGACATAGTGAGAACATTCGAAATCATTATTCAAAGATCTCTCTTCTATCCAAGTTTCGAGCAGGAAAGACCAGTACGTTCTGGCCCAGTGTTTCAATGAATGTTTAGCCACCACATCCTGCAGGACGAAGCAGCCAGGCAACATGCACTGCGGCCGCATCTGGTCAACTGCCCCCGCAGGGGGGTCATTGGGAACTCCCGTTATGCTGTGCGACTTCGGAAGGAAATCGTGCAGGCAGCAAAAGACAAGAACAGGTACATTTGATATGTGCAGTGGTACTGATCCAAGAGATCTTTTGTTTCATTGACTAAGGTGAAGCACAATGTAAAAGTGGGGTATGCTCTGGAGGCAAATGGAATCAGGAGCTCAAAATCTGTTAATTTCTTCCTATGAGAATCTGTGTTTAGTACATTGCTAGATTCCTGATACGACTTGACAGAACTAAAGGGACCTTCCGCCCCATGAAAGCTGTTAAGACTATCCCCAATAAAGTCCCCAAATCTTTCCCAAACAAGCTTCGCAAACTTCGCGTCTCAAACACTCCTCCTGCAGGAGCCCTGTCCTTTTCTTCGGCGAGCCTGGCCTGGAGAAGGACGGATACGCAGCTCTGGTGCATTTCGGCACCCCTAACCGCTCCAAGAATATGGTGCGTCTTGACTGCCATCGCCTGGGCCGCAGCGCCGTTGAGCTTTTTGGAAGCAGGGCCCGGCCCGGGCTCCTGCACTGGCTGGGGGACGGGACTCTTCTGCTAGACAACGTGCTTCAGGTGAGCCGTCCTTTTGTTTCCGTTTATGACGCATGTTAAGCTCTCGCCTGAGCAGGTTTCTGCTCATCTTCGAAGACGTTTCTCCTTCAACGGAGCGGTCTTTGCACTGGCTGGGGGAGGGCACTCTTTTGCTAGACCACGTGCATCAGGTAGTCTGTATTTCCGCCCCTTTCTTTGGTTCCCCATTACTGGATGGACTCCCAAAACCCTTGCCTGAGCACTTTCTGGCTCGTTTTGGGGGGGGCCTGTACTCGTTAGGAGAGGTCTCTGTGCTGGCTGGGGGGCGGGACTCTTCTACTAGACAACATGCATCAGGTGCGTCACTCTTTCATTTCCCTATCTCGTTCCTCTCGCTCTGATTTCTGATGAGTATCATTGCCTGTTTCTGTTTTTCTTCCATTCCTACTTACTGGATGGTGTCCCCAAAGCCCTTACTTCCTGCCAATTTTAAAAGGCACCGTTTCGTTCTAGGCCAAGGAGTCCTGCGATGGGCGATTGACCGCTCTGGCTGAAGAATGTGCATAAAACGCCATGTTTATGCTTTGTCCTCTCTGTTCGTGTTCAGCACTTTCTTGGTATGAGGCTCTAAGAGCACCTAAGGATTGGTCTGGTCTCGCAACTGGAGGAGTGCCGCGCCACAATCCAACTTGAAATCCACTTGCATCCAGCTATCATTTGCATCAAGTCTCCAAGCGCTAAGCCCGAAATCTGGAAACCACTTCTGACCCTCGATGAACAGATCGAACAACCCTGATTGGGAGTTTCTGACTGAAAGGCTGCTTGAAGAAGATTTTATTGCACGTCACGCTGACGAAAAGCTTTATGAACATCCGTGCAGGCTCATCCCGTGTTCCTGCAAAACCTCGTGGATCTATTGCGCACGGGCACCTACCGACCCGCATCGAGCACCCGTCTCGAAGCCTGGGCTCAGCCAGATGGTAATTATCTGGGCCAACGTCTCCTTCTCTCCGCCTCTACAAGATATCCTTACCCGCATCTTAGTGCTGCTGTTGTATCGGTTCTTCTCGCTCGCTCTTGAATGTAGAGACGACTGTCTAAAGGCTCTCTTATTTGAAGATCCCTCTAAGTCTGTGTTAGCCGACTTGGTTCTCGAATCAACGGAAGGCCTTAAATTTTGCGTTTCAGTTTAAGCAATTTACTCTTGACACTACTGATGACTTCGAGGACAGCAAAACGAAACTCGTAACGCGCCATTCGACTTAGACACTCCTAGTAATTTTGAAAATAGAAAAGCAACCGAATTGAGCGTCGCAATTTCAATTGCAGAAGGGGTGACAATGGAACCGGTGCGGCACAGCCAGGCGCGCATCATCTTGACGGCCGAAGGGACGGTTCCGGCGCTCGAGCACCTGGTGACGGTGATCAAGGTGAGCACAAACGGAACGAGAACTTCACGGGTTGCGGCACAACGGAAACGGAGCTTAACGGAAGTGAAGCTGAACGGGAATGGATGTGCAAAGTCTGCGCTTGCTCCGGCTCTGACAGGTTTAAAATTTGAGAAAAGTCTAGTCAACAGAACTACTTGAACCAAGTCTTGAGTCAGCACCCTGCCGTGTGAAATCAAACTCATACTGAAAGACATCCGCTTGCCTCTTAGATTGGTTTCGGCAGAAAGCTCGATGAATAAGTCGCTTATAAAGTCTGCTTTTCTGTCTTATAAAGTCCCTCCACCTCCACGTGCGCCCCTACCGCATTCCCCTGCTTGCCGCCTATTTTTCGTGCCAGTACCGATCCAGCGCTGAAACTTGCCGTTCAAACCCGTTGAAGCTGAGATTACTCGCTTATGTGAGATTCGTTCCTTGTCCCGTCAGGTTCCCCCCCTCCGTGTGCGCCCCTCAGACATTCCCGCCTACCGCCTCCTGCCTGCGTCGCTGATTCTTCTGTATTTTCAAACGTCAGGCTGAAATTGGATATTCACAGGGCTTGAGTTTTTCTAGGCTGCTTCTCTTTTCTTTCAGGTTCTCTCCCTCCGCGTGCCCCCCTTCGACACCCCCCCCCTCACTGCCTACTTTCTGCGCCAGTCCTAGTGTCGCTGGTTCTCAGAGACATTCCCTCGAGCATGTCAAACGTTCGGGCTGGACTGAGTGTTGATATGCGGTAAAACCGTTTCTCCTTCAGGTCCCCCCCTTCCGCATGCCCCCGTTCCGACACCCCTCCCCTTACCGCCTACTTTCTGGGCCAGTATCGATCTTTCGCTGAGCAAAGTTCCTTGTCCCGTCAGGCTCCCCCCCTCCGCGTGCGCCCCTCCGACATTCCCCTCCTCCCTGCCTACTCACCCGTTCAGTTTGAGATCAAACAATAAGATGAAAACTTCTCTCGTCAGGTCCCCCCCATCCGCGTGCGCCCCTCCGACATCCCCCCCCTCACCGCCTACTTTCTGCGCCAGTACTGCGCGCAGCACGGCGCGCGCCCCATTGTGCCCACCTCGGAGGCGCTGCGCGCGCTGGAGACGAGCCCCTTCCCCGGAAACGTGCGCGAGCTCCAGGCGGTCCTGGAGCGGGCCGCGCAGAACATGGCGGACGGCGAGACGCGGCTCACTGCGGACGTCCTGTGGAATACCGCCAAGGTGGGGCCGGAAGTTGATTGAAAGTTTTTGACCTTATTCTTCTTCTTCTTCTTCCTTTCTGTGTGCAATGATCTGGCCACAAGCGTGGAGTCTGCAGACTCGTATACGCGGTATCGTAAAAGCTGGTCACAGGTCCGTACGCGTTTGGCAAGCTTCGAGTCGCTTTTCGGACAGAAGGCCCCCTCTTCGCCTGGACCTGCTCAAGGCGTGCCGCCCCATGCGCTCCTTCCCAGCCAAACGACCAGCAACATACTTTCACCCCTAAACAGCTCGACTTTCGTTCTAACCACTTTTTGACTACCTTTAACCATCTCTCGACGATCGCCCGTCTGATTCCCGTCTGATTCTGACCCGGCAAAACATTCCCCTCTTTGCAGCAAGGCCACGACTTCTTCCGCCTTTACTTCTGAAAGGAGGGGGGACGATACACTTCAGTCGGAATAAGTCGTCTTCCCCTGCTTGCGCGCTCTATTGGTTCGCACACTCCAGTCGGACCTTGCTTGCGTGCTCTCTTGTTGCGAACCAAACCAAAACCAACTCGCGCCATTCACAGCATGTTTACGCTGACCGTCTCCAGCTTTTCCATTCTCGCAGCAAGGCCACGACCCCTTCCGCCTGGACCTGCTCAAGGCGTACCCCCCCCTGCGCTCCTTCCTCCGCAGCGACTTCTGGCCACGGGAGATCAACTTCGGCTTCACCACCTACGTTTTCGCGGCAACCGTGGCGCTACTGCTGTTCGGGCCTCAAGACCGAGAGCACAACGTCGCGCTAACCGTCTTCTGGGCCTACTGGTGGCCCGTCCTCTTTCTGATCTACCCCTTTTTGGGCCGGGTCTGGTGCTCGGGTGAGAGTTCCGTTCCGGTCCGGTCCGTTCCATTCCGTTCCGTTCCGTGTATAAATTTGTGGCTACGGAACCCTGAGGTTTACTCACGGACGGGTGTGAGCGGCTCGTGCCGGGCTGTTCCGTCGATTGTGTTTCTGTGTCTGCGAAACCAAAAGGCTCATCGATGAACGAGAGAAGCCCACTTCCTCACGGCTCGATGTCTAATGCATTTCAGGTCAGCCTGACTTTATATATTATTGGCTATATTCGTCATGTTTTTTCACTTGATCCCCAACGCATTCGACGCCGGAAGGCTTGTTTCAAGCTCATCGTTTTCTGTTACGTTCAGCGACCTTGCTGGGACCGGCTCCGGTGCTCAAGCGAGGGCTTCGCACCGGGCGCCCCTCCTTTAAGGATGGAAACAATAAAATCGACCATTCTAGTTGCACATTGACTTTCTTAAGATACGAAATGATCCTTGTTGGGTTTCGCGGAGTCCGGTTGAGCGCAGCTCGACAAAGTGTAACGTTGCCCCTCATCCCAGCCAGAGAGCGTTCTTAGAAAGCACCGTTGCGTTACTTCAGCAACCCGAGAGTACAGCTGGCGGAATAATGAGTAATTAAAAGCTTATCACTAGAAGCTTAGAAAGCAAGGAACACCCGGGCGTTGCCATCTTGGCTTCCCGCGTTTTTGTCCAGCACCAGCCCGGCCCCACCTCATCTCTCCCGGAACCTATTCCAAGTCACCCATCCTTCTGAAGTCACTTCTTCTTAGGCTGCCACTCCTAAAAGCGCTAAACCTCTTATTTGAAAGGACGGCTCTGACTATTTCCCGTCTCTATCCTGCAGTCTGCCCGTTTATGATCTATGGCGAACTGGTGCAGAAGTGGAGACTGGGCACGGGAGCCAAGCTCTTACAGTGGCCTAGAGAAACAGGTAGGGGTTGATTATCTATTCTGCACTGGGCTTCGTGGGACGCGTGTCACAGGGCGACCGATGGCCTGAAGTCTCACCTTCGCAGTCGCTCGAGAAAGCCACGTGCTTCAAATCCGCAACGACACGCAGTCGTTATCCTCTACGTGGATGTCCCGTCAATATCTAGTTCACTGGGCTGATTTACCATATGTTAACAGCATTCAATACGCTGGGCTGACCGTTCATAAGCTTGAAAAAGCCAATACGCTTTTTCGCAGAGCAGCTATGGTGCTGACGAAAGCCTCTGGCGCTAGCCCTTCGCTCTGTGCGATTCTGACGCGACATATTGAGTATACTGCCAGGGTGAAGAATGGCAGAAGATTCGCTCTCTTGTGGTATAGTACGATTGACGAGTAGACGCCAACGCTTTCTCGCCTTTATGAACAGGGTTCCCATCTCTGTGGACAAATTTACTGTAGCCGGGTTCAGAAGTCCGAGCATTCCCTCGCATGACCTAGCATCACAAAGCCCCGAAAAGTAAGATTTGGAGTCGCACCAAATGCTCCCCGTGCATTTTTGCAGCCGAGACCTGGGGCCCCTGGTTCCTGGTGTCCCTCTTCGGTGCGATCCTGGTCTGGGAGGACGTGTGGCACCTCAGCTCGCACGCCGCGCTCTCCGCCGGCCTCCTCTTATTGATTACGTCAGGCGCCGTCATCTGTTCCGCCGTCTTCGAGCGCCGGCTGTGGTGCCGCTACCTGTGCCCCATCGGCGGAATGAACGGACTCTTCGCGAAAATGTCGATGACCGAAGTGCGCGCGCGCCAGGGCGTCTGCACCGGTGCGTTTTCCTCTCCCTCTCTAGTTGCGCGTCTTTGTCTGGAAGTGACGGCGTTTCTGTCACCTTGTAAGTCTTGGGTTTTGACGCGCCCGTTGGCCAGAGAAAGACTCTTCGACGGTGGATTCGCTGTTGGAGACAGCTGGAGACTTTCATCCCAATAGAAAAGATGATACAAATTCTTGCGACCCGCCGGGTCTCAATGAGGGAGGCAAGCGGGTATCTTTCTGTTTGATCATATATGGAACTTGGATTGAGCGAGTTGCTTCGTTTGAGTTTGGAAACCTGCCCGGAAGCCAGGTTAGAGTTGACAGCAGTCTCCGTCTCTAACTTATGTCGAAACCGCATGGACTGACTTGCCTAAAGTTTGGTTCGGATTTTGCCTGAGGGGAGGCCAATCGTCTGACTTCCTTATTTCACGTCAGCCCTTTACTTTCAATTGTGCCTCCGTAACCTCGACGATAACCGAAAGCCGATAAGGACACCTCTTCTGACGACCTTCCAATTTTCAAAAACCTCACCGCTCAGCATTTCACAGTCAGTCCGCATGATGCCCTTCCCGTCCTGACGTGGCCCTTCCCTCCGCAGCCACGTGTCAGACGTACCACTGCTACAAGGGCGGCCCGGCGGAGCCCCCCGAGGGCTTATCCACCGGTGGCTGTCCTGTTCACTCGCACCCGGCGCAGCTCCCGGACAACAAGAACTGCGTCCTGTGCATGGACTGCCTCAAAGCGTGCCCCCACACAAGCGTGGAATTCAACCTGAGACCCCCCGGAGTGGATCTGTGGACCGGTCACAAGCCGGCCACGTCAGAGGTTACGCTCATGTTCATGCTGCTAGGGGGAGGTGCGCTTCGCCCACCCTTTGTTTCTGTTGCCGATTCTTCCCCGCAATCCTTGTGTGCGTTGTCCTCGTCACGGTCTTCTTCCTTGTACGACTTGGATTTTGTTTGCCGACGGCTTTTCTGAGGAACGGGCTCAGTGGGTGTTGAATGTGAGCACCTTTGCGAGGACGGCGGTCTGAGTAGGCCCCTCTTTGTTCTTCTCGATCGGACACACGGAAGCAGCGGAATTTTCCGGAGTCCCCGGATAGACTGCCGCGGGGCTTTGCATTGCTCTGAAGATTTCCGAAACTGATCTTAGGGGCGATACTCATGCCCATGGAAGTGCTGTCGGCTGCGATACCAAAATCAGTGGCCCCTATCATGAAGCAATGACACTTCCGGAATAGTAAGCTTTGAAAATAGTAAGCTCACCAGCCTGGGACGGTTAGGGTTAGTTTGGGGGTTTTGTGTGGGTACGGGTGCGGAGCAGGTAGGTTTTGTGGGTTAGGATTTTAGTATTTGGTTTGAGCTTACTGTTCCTGAAGCTTAGTTTCCTAAACTGTCGCGACATCCTATCACGTTGCATGGAGGAGGTGGGCCTGGCCTGCAACAAACGCTTACTCCCCACGCTGGCGTCATGTCTTTTTAACCTGTTTGCAGTGTACCTCCACCGCGCACCGCACCTCATGAGTCAACTCGGACTCGAGCCTCTCCTCCTCGACTCAAAGCCTATCCATGTGGGGATCGCTTTGGCGCTTCTGTCCCTCCCTGGCTTTGTTGCTTTCGGAGTGGACTCAGCGACCCGCTTCTACTCCGAAACGCGGCGGGCCGTTAAACCCGCGCCGTTTCTGCACCTGGCGTATGGGTATCTTCCCTTAGTGTGGAGCGCTACACTCGCCCATTACTTGTTCCTTTTCCTAGTCGAGGGAGGGACTCTTCTCCCCGTAACGGCAGCGACTGTCGGGTTTGAGGATCTAGGACTTCCAAGTTTTGTGGCCGACTCTTCTGTTGTAGGATTTCTTCAGGGGTCGGTTTTGATGGCGGGGGCCGGTCTGAGCTTGGCCCTCACTCGTAAGCTAGGGAAACGACCATGGAGCGCGTTGTGGCCCCAGTGCACGACGATTGTGGCTTTCACGGCCGAGTTGTGGGCACTGATTCTATGAGAGAAGAGTATGTTAGGGAGACAGTTGGTTATGGGATTCCTCATGTGTGTAACATCGAACACAAGAGTCTGCTTTGCATAAACAGTGCTGGCTGACCTGAGACATCGGCAGATCGGTACTTGTAAGTGTGCAGTGGAGTTTGTTCCCGGATGGACCGGTGAAATAGGATTCATAGAAACAAGACTTGAATTTGGATGCACTCCAAAAACGCTTCGGTAGGACAATAAGCCGTTATTGGAAAGGTCGAAAGCTTTAGCTTACATCATTTGACTTGCATCGGAGCAATTGTGGCACGTATGGACTTCATCATGGTTCCCTGGCAGCACACTCTATCTCAACGTGACCCACTCATTCAGCGATCGGAATTCTTCCGACAACTTCTGACATAGAACATATGAGTATACACCAGCCCCGTCAGAAAATTTATGCGCAACCACGAATGCCTTCCAATCGAGGATACATAGATTCGTCACGTACATGCGTTATATGCATACGCTCGCGAAACCAGTGTACTAAGGGGAAGGTCATC